ATTCAATCATACTAGGATTGCTTATGATCGTGTTATGACGTCACTGTGTAGGCTGGCCAATTGAAGAAAAACAAATTTTAAAATGAATAACAATAAGGGTCCTGTAGAGCACAGGTTAATTTAAATTTCTCATTGGATAGTTTTTCTAATCGAGTCTTTGTAACTTAAGTGAGGAATCCAGGCCATATTGAATCATAGTGGTAAATGATAAGGAAAATATTTAGATGATGTTTATATTAAATGGTAGGCCTTTTGATAGTTATCATTAGCCCTTTAGTTGACTTCAGACTTCACAGAGGGGGAGGAACATCAAAGTGACAAAAAGTCGGGAGGGGGAGAAACAGAAGAGTGCTTCAAAGATGTAAAAGAGACAGACACAAAGGTAGAAAAAGATGTGAGGTGATTATTGTGGAAGTAGTTGAATATGACATACAACAAAAGAGTGTTTAAAAGATGTAAAAGAGACAGACACAAAGGTAGAAAAAAGGTAGTGAGTACTGTGAAAATAGTCAAATATGGCATAGAGTGAAGTGCTTCAAAGATGTAAAAGAGACAGACACAAAGGTAGAAAAAGGTGAGGTGAGTACTGTGGAAGTAGTCGAACAAGGCATATAGTGGGGTGATGGAAGTGTGAAGTGAGAAGTGAACTATCGGTTAATAGACTTTTTGCTGTATGAGTAAACGTTGCACAGGGTGCACCATATGGAGGTAAGTCTATCGCACACCCCTATTTAAGAGAAATAATTATGATCAAGCTGATTCCTTATGGAAAATATTTGAAATAGTTTTAAAATTAAAATAATTGGTCATGAAAGTGGATTTCCCATCGAAAACTATTGGCTGAATCGAGTTATTTGGTCGACATTCTTATTAAAAATTAGTCCAAAGCCCCTTGTACTATTTAAAATATGAAGCATTCAAAAATGGCATTTGGCCTCCTAAAGTCGCTCAGTGTAGGACTTCGACTATTATTTTCTTTTATCCAATCGACGGAACAAGGTAAGGTTTAGTAAATAATGGGTCTTGATAAGTTTGGAATTGGGTAAAGCATTAGATAGAAAAGCCCTAAAAAAGAAAAAATCATTGGACGAAGTCAAAATGTTTAGTTATATTTCACATTGGCCAGAATTATGCCCTGCTCACAGGAAATATTTGATCGATGGTCACTAAAAGTCCATAATTATCTCGAGTTTAGCCCTGTTCTATTTAAAATTGAAGGAAAAGTTGGTTGTTCATTACGCTAGTAAAGTTAGTTACAAGGTTTTAACTCAGGACCGACATCATTAACTTGGTTAAGAGCTACTCAGTTTCGAAGGAATAACCGCACAATAGGTCAGTTAGAACGATGACCATTGAAATAATTTGTCACAGTGGTTGAAATAACACCTTATAACTCAGTATTATTTTTTCAACAGAGTTACTATGATGGTGTGGGTTTCCTCTTCAATAGGATTTCGCAACATTTAACAAATAGCCCGAGAGGAAGCACATAAGTAATGCAAACGCTGCAGTAACTTGATTTCACTTATTTCATTAATAAATAATCCACCTTCCTCGATTTAATTCTCATGACCGTTTAGTTGAACACTGTTCAAAATTCACCCGGTGTAGAGAGATGGGATCACTGAGTCTGATTGGTCAAAAAGGTCAATTTCCTCGTCCCCCCCCCCTCGCCTTCTGCTTTTAAACTTAACCAACACGGTCAACCGGTTCCTTACATCGGGTAATGCCGAAGTTTACAGTTACTTTAATATTCGCTTTTAAATTATTTCAACCTATTTCACCAAAATATATTCCATGCAATATACACTTTAATGCTCAGTGGGTAGTAATATTCGTCATGTTCTATTTAAGTGAAATCTTTTGTTTAGGGATAAATGATATTTTTAAAGGGTGAAAATATGTCAATCGGAAGTACAGGAAAGTGAAAGCATTGCCATTGACTCATGTGCATTTCCGATTATTTTATGGATAATTAGAAGATTAATGTTCGCTATTTTCAGCCCAATCTCGATTTATGGTCTGATAAACTCCAACATGAAATCATTGGCCATGAGATTGATCATAATTTATTTATATCAAATGGCAGGCGTTTTGATAGTTGACTTCAGACTTCACAGAGGGGAAGGAACATCAATGTGAAAAAAGTCGAGAGGGGGGGGGGACGGAAGAGTGTTTCAAAGATATAAAGGAGACAGACATAAAGGTAGAAAAA